GATGAGGATGAAAGTGATGAGGACGAAATCACCCATGCTGTACCATTCAAGTGCATTGGTGCTGCTCATGAGAAAAATTACCAACATCAACAGCATACCTTGCTCTTCATGGACAAGATAAACCAGTGAATGTAAGAATACGGCCAGAGCCATTGAATCCAATGGACCCAAGTGCAATTGCAATTGATGTAGACTATGGAACTGGATGGACACACATTGGTTATCTTGCTTCTCAACTATGCGAGTATTTACACTGACTAATTGCCACAGGAGATATCTTAGAGGTCTATGTTCAGCATATCAAGTATAGGGTTGACTTTTTTAAAGTAGGATTTTATCAAAAAATTTTCATAAAGCGACGTGGTGAGTGGGAGACTCAAGTGGTAAGGGAGAGCACAAGTGTACGTTGACAGATGTTTGTGATATAATTGTAACTGACTAGGTTTAGCAAGTTATAGAAATGATCTTATTTCAATTAGGTAACTTTTTAGATTTTCATAAACAAAAACTAGGTTAATCATAAGTGGGTGTGCACAATTAAAATAAAAAAAGTCTGTCATGCACACTCATGCAATTAAGACAAGTGCAAAATTGTAACATGTGCTGTACTAAATGAAGAAATAAATAGTTTGTACATTCACTTGACCAACTTTGTGAGTAATTTTTATTTTTCATTAAAATTAATGCAACAATAAAACAAAAATATGTCTATTTATATACATATTGATCAAAGGTCCCACAATAACATGCTGTGATACTTTGTGGTACATTACATGAGAATACAAAAAACCCTGCATATTATTGCACCTATCAATGTCAAGCCCCAGAGGGGGGTGGGCATATGTGGGGTATTTGATCATCATTGCATCCCCACTCTGGGGATTTTGATTAGCATTTTGGGCCTGAGTTAGGGCAATTTGAACCAAAATGACTTTTATTAATATAGTATTTATTGCAATTTATTGCAAAATGGTGGGGTGTTTGACCAATATTTATTACCTAACAGTGGGGCATTTGATTGAAAATTTGCTCAAAAAATCAAATGCCCCACATATGCCCGACTCCACCCCCCTCTCTGGGGCTTAACATTGAAAGAACCACCATTTCTCAAACTTTATCTGAATTAGTTGTGTAACATCATTACAAAATACTGTTAAAAAAAGGCCAAGTGGGCCTTCACTCCTATAAAGGGCATTCTATCCAATGGCATCAGACCAACATCTCCATGGCGTTGTTCTCCAAAGCATCGAGCAGTGTGATAAATCAGATTATTTGTCTTTTTGACCAGCATGAAGTACAGAGGGCCAAATTTAGCACCTAAACCAGGGTTAACTTTTACCAGCCATTTTTGAAACAGGTGGATGAGTAGTTATTCTGGTTGTTGCTGGGTTAGTTTTGAAAATCCAGAAGTTATACCAATAACATATTAAACCAGAAAGGTGAACAAGGTTTTGGTCACTCGATGGAGAGACAATCATAGCATCGGAGATCTTCAGACCTCTCAACTTTGCAGAGAAGTTAAGAGTGAGATTGGGGATGTGGATGACACCTTTGTCGGGGGCCGGGGGTCTGAAATGGCATTTCATACATTATGAGTGTTGGTGTTTTTTAATGAAATACGTCATTGCTTCATAACGTCCTTTATTGAGACAAGGCACTTTAGTTTAGTTACAATAACTGTATTTCTGTGACATACAGTAATGAGTTTTAATTTGCCTTTGATAATTTACATATAGAATTCTGCTCCGACTGATGATGCCTTTTGTCCACCGTATTTACATATGCGTACTTGTATCCAGTGGATGCAAATTGCAGGCAAAAGCCAAAGTGTCGGGCCGTATATGCAGGAACAAGAACACGCGATTATATATTCGGTTCGCGATCCGTATAATGATTAATAATGTGCATTTATTAAGAATACAATATTATATTATTGAAAAAATACTATGAAACTGCTATATATGCGTGAGATTAACTAATCGTGGCGTGAGAGCATGAGAGTGGAGCGAATTGCGTGAGACTCACGCCGAATGCGTGAGAGTTGAGAGGTCTGGATCTTGCAGATGTAGAAGGTCTGTACAGATTGGAAGGACCGATTTTACCTCCAAATTTAATGATGATGCTTAATTCTTGCAGACAAAATCATTGACAAAAATAGAATCCAGCCAAAATCACGAATCTCAAATCTAAAATATCAGCCAAACAATAAATTTCACTTGTAAAATATTGTTACGGAAGGGCTTTAATTATTTGCACACTTTAACTGCAATATATACAATCCATAATATATCGAAACTTCTATAATATATCACACTTCTTTAGAAAAAAGCGAGTAATAGCAGTTCATTATCGATCTGAGTGACAAGGCAACATATTTTACAGAGGGCTATATTCAACGGTGAATATCTCGAAAACGGTTGCGGGACCGAGGGGGGCCGGCTGGATAGAATTAAAGATTATACTTTTGTTTAACTAATCGTGAAAGAAATAGCGAAATCGAACAGTGGAAATTTGAGATTTTTGTCTTCAAAGATTGTTGACAGAAACGCCACTAAATTACATCGCGACGGCATAGCGCCTAAAGTGAGAGGTCAAAATAAACTGGAAAATAACGCTTACCTTTCAAGATACCGTTCCAATGGGTAGATTCACTGTTGCAAAAGTAGTATCGCGTGAAATTTCCAAAAAAATGTGCATAACAATATGAAAAAAGTCGATATTTATGAGCACTATGTAAATTTTCGATGCCAAAAGCTTCATGCGAGCATGAGGAAAATGGCGCAATCTGATTGGTCGAGAGATTCGCCCAGATTCGCCTAATTAGCTGTCCAACCTCCTCTGAGTCAAAGATTAGATACTATAAAGATGTGTCACTCGACGTATTTCCCTAATGTTTGCGTGTCCGTAATTTTCCGTGTTGATCACGAGTGATCACGCGAGATGACGAGTGCATAACACTTACTGCCAAAATGGCGGCGAGACGAATACAATAGGTTGCCATCGCGATGCTCGCGATATATGACGAATTTTGACGAATTTGACACTTACTGGCAAAATGGCGGCTATAAAAAAATCTCGGACATGATTTTCACAGAGTGACACATCTTTATAGTATCTAATCTTTGTCTGAGTAGAGCTCAGTGATTAGCCTGCTCCCAGAGGCCTGCTCCGTAGGTATCTATGGGTTTAGCCTGCGAATGGGTTAGGATTCGATTACTCGGGATTCGTGAACATTATTTTGCTTGAAAGTTGAAATGTCCAATGCAACAATGCCTGACTGCCAACTCTGAACTCATCATCCTCGTTTTACCACACCGGGATTTAAATAGTACTTAAGATCTCGCCAAATTTTCAGTTCCGATCCACCCAATTCCAGACATTCCAACTCTCCCGATTTTACCGGGAGTCTCCCGAAAATTCATGCAATCTCCCGGTCTCCCGATTTTTATCAAATTCTCCCGATTTTTCAGAATATTCAGGAAATATCATAAAAAATTATAAATATACTGTTTTTAGCAACATAATAGTCTGTCTTGACCTTTTTTGAAGTTGCTTTATGGCAATTTATAGGATCATATATAATGAACATAGTCCCAAAATGCAGGAAACGCCATTTCGGAAGACTTAATTTTTATTATTTTTTCCCAGAAGAACTAGATTTCAATTCACTGAACAGTCTCCCTAAATTTTACCTCCAGTGGTTGGAATGTATGCAATTCCCGAGCAGGGTTTGGCCACTGATCTGGGTTTGGCAGAGGCAGACCACTGCACGAGAAGGTCCATAACTTCTTCTTCCATAACTTCGAGAAGGTCCGTTCATAATCTCGCTGGCAGCCGTTCTTTGTGCGAGTCGTTCCTCCCATGCAACTAGAGTTCTTGCTTCTTGGCAATAAAGGAATTATCATGAACCTGTGAATGTTTGAAACGGAATTCTCTTGAATCTTTCTGTTTAATGGTATACAACTCCACTGCCCACTGGTACTGTTTATTGAAACGGAGTCATCCAACTCATTTCAAAAGTGACGGCTGTGACGCCCATACTATCTCGATGAAGTGAGGGGGGTTTGAATTTCGACATAATGTGCAGTTATCGGTGCACGCTTTGTCGTTACTGTAATTGCGTCGATCGGGAAGTTAGTTGAATACATTCCTGTTCTTTTCTTGACTTATATACAGTATAGTGCACGCTCTTTGAGAGTATGCCAGCGTATGGAAAATATCAATTATACATTCATACGCTGGTATACGTTATGGGTGCTTGAAGCGCATGCAACCTATGCCTAACGTACGGTGGCATACGGTGGCATATAGTGGCATACGCATGGATACGGCGAGGCAGAAATTTGTTTTTAATTAAGAATGCTTAAAAATTTTGTGCGTATGCGGACGTATGATTTATATGCGCAATAGTGTGACAGGGCTTTTAGGTGACTACAAACGAAACTCGGATTTTCGCTGAGGTGGTATCAATAATATATTTCACTATCATGGGACACATGAAACTCGGAACCCCAATCAGTACGTTTACACGTGAATTAAGGAGTCCACCAATTAGCCTTTCTCAGACTTTCTCACGCTGCCATTTTTGGGTGGCTTTTCAGCCGAAGTCTGCGGCGAGACAAGTCCACATAACAGCGACTTTTTATAATTTTTTGGACGAATGATGGTAACTTTGCTTTGTAAATGGTTAGTTTATTTTGAAAAATTGCTTTTCACATCAGGGCCGTCGGACACAGCCGGGGGGGGGGAGACAGGGGCACTGCCCCCCCCTAGAGAAAACTATATTTACGATTTTTAGAATGACTTATTAATTATTATTTGGGACTTTTTTCGGCATATAGGCCGTACTGCCCCCCTGGTGAAAAAATCCTGCGTACGGCCCCCTTTTCACATTGTCAGTTTAATTGCCTGCATTGGTAACGAGAATTAGATGCCACCCAAAAATGGCAGATATTCGTCATCGTGAGAAAGGCCGATTAGGAAGAAACCAGCCTAAATTTTCAAATTTTGAGTCACATCTATACCCACTACAAAGTCATGGTTGAAACGTCAAGAGAACTAGCTATATACTAACATTATCATTATTCTTTTTGTCAAAATCGATATATCAATGGGAGACTGATTAGTCCCCCTTCAGTGGAAAGGGAGACTGCATGATAAGTTGCCGCCCTTTCGGATTTCATTGCTGCTACACGGAGAATAAAGAAGTCAAATTGACTGATATTTGTGTATGACATTAGTATTAATATTGGCACAGAACTAGTGTGCAAATAACAAAAAAATACGAAGCCTTTCCTTAATTGTCAATTATTCCCAACCCGTGAGATGGTGTCAACATACTGCATTAAGTACTATATGACATATTGAAAATGTTGAGACCAGATTCACAAACCATCAGCCTTCATCCAATCAATCTGAAATTTAAATATGCATGTTTCTAGTCTCTGTAATTAAGTCAGCGGGCAAAGCCAGAGCCTTATTATTTTATTTAGTTTTGCGGGGGTACGCGTGGCGAAGGGAATGCCGAAGGCCTGAGAGTGCTCGAGGGTCAGGGGTATGCTAGCGCATCTCTTTTCGTAAAATTGAAGCCAAGAATAATCCAGCGGTTACCCCCATTTGAATAGATGGCGGCCATGTTGGTCGTTCCCACTTGCTAATAAACGCTTAAAAACAACAATAACTTTCATCATGTGAATAGTTTAATTAAAAATGTATTTGGAATAGGTTTAACTTAATGTTTAAGTTCCCTGCTTAAGAAATAGAAAACATACGAATCTTCTCATTTCATGGGAACGACCTGAGACTGCAGTCACGGCTTCAATTTTTGAATTGCAGAATATTTAGATGCACTATCTATAGTGTATATAAGATATCTATGGCTCCCACGGGATAATTTTGAAATTAGTCTATAGAGTCCCTGAAATGCGATTAATTTCAAGTATTTTCGGGGTGAAATTTTACAGAATTCCAAAGATTATAAAGTACATCAAAGGCTGAAAGGCATGATTTTTTACCAAATATTTCCGTCCTCGGAACTAGATGAATTGGAAAAGTCAACTTGGAAAACTAGGGATCCGTGGGGGGAGAAAATCCCAATTTGATTTTGATTGGAAATTTTGCATTTAGATAAACCTAGTTTCTATCAGACGCCATTTCTCGCATTTTCAATATATATATATATATATATATATATATATATATATATATATATATATATATATATATATATATATATATATATATATATATATATATATATATATATATATTGCATTACTTTTCATAAGGTACAGAATAAGTTTGAGAAGAAATATTCATGCTATGGTGACATACATGCCATTTAAGTGATTTAACCGTAAACTAAATCCGCTCTTCTCAGTGGAACCACACTCTCCTCCGCAGAGGCTTTGTGTTTTGGGGGTTTTTTTTTCAAGGTTTGCAGGCGGGAGGCTCCGCCTCGCCCCTTTCATCCCTATTTATCCCCTATAATTTTCCCCTAGCCTGCCTAGCCCGCGACTATCCCGCCTGTAAACTTTGAAAAAACCCAAAACAAAACACAAAGCCTCTGCGGAGGAGAGTGGTGGAACCATGGATCGATTGTAAAATAACTGGATAGGAAAGTAGCTGACGTCACAGTCTAGGCAGTATTTTATTCAATCCATGGTGGAACCATATACACAAACGATTTCAGTTAACGAGATTTTACACATCAAAGCTCCTCCAGTAATTCGTCGTTGTCCTAGGTCGAGACTTAGCTTCGAAAATGTAACGTGTATCCCCCCCCCCCTCCCCCCACAATTTCCCTACGGATTTAGACTTTTTGAGAGAATGGTTTTTGTGGAGATTGGGGGAGGGAGCGGTCGCCCCTCCCCGCTTATCCCCCCTTAGCTACGCCACTAAATTAATTAATATGGCAGATGCTACACTAGCAGCAACACTGGCATCTGCAATATTAATTAATTCAGTGGCGTAGCTAAGGGGGGATAAGCGGGGAGGGGCGACCGCTCCCTCCCCCAATCTCCACAAAAACCATTCTCTCAAAAAGTCTAAATCCGTAGGGAAATTGTGGGGGGAGGGGGGGGATACACGTTACATTTTCGAAGCTAAGTAACAAAAAAATTTCGGTGACCCCCATACTTTCTTTAAAATGATTTCTTTTTGGAAATCGAATTAGTTTGATGATTTTAAAAACCTTTTGGCGACGCAATTATATTTTCCAAATTAGGTAAATGTTATTATTCATAATAAAATTGTTTGATTCAACACAGTTATTAAGGGACATATACAGGTCGAATTTCGCCTGCCAAAATTTATACAGGTGTGTACAAGGGGCCCCTGAGAACGAGCAGAACTGTCAGTCAAGTCAGCGACAGAAACAATATCAATCTAGTATTTCAAATGCAGTTCCCTCCACTCCAGATCTGAAAAATGTATTTCGCAGCATCGCCTGAGCGACTGTTAATTTACTGTTTTGAGAGTTGAGTTCATAGTAGCTGCTCAATCAGCAGCAAAGCAAGTAATGTGCAATTAAGTTTTGATGAAAATCGTGAGGTATAGCAGAAAAATACCGCAGATTTGGCAACAGCACAAAAATGCACGGCGGAATGTACAAACCGCGAGGAAACCTTCACGAAAGGGTTCATTCCTTACTATTTAACATTTGAACATGCAGAAGTGGGCTACAAAGCCTTTACAAACAAATTTAATTCTGAGGAATCGAAGAGCCGACTGCCGAGCTGGATTTTATGTTTGAATGGGAGTGAAAGATCTATCATGACATTGTAGGCCGTACAAAACCAATATTCCAAACACTTCCAACTTATTAGTGAGTGGGTGGAAGACAGGGAGGCGTCATGTTGTGAAAACATTAGCGGGTATTGTGTAGGAGGCAAATTTACCTCTGGCTGCCGCTCTGCGAATACCTGTTTGCAAGTCTAATCTGAGTATGTGTATATATATTAACATAATGATCACACATGAAAATTGAAGATTGTAGTCCATCACACACTTGTATATCATGATTTTCATTACAAATAGTCAAAATCAGACATTCAGTATGCATGTACAGATTGGTGAATGGTGTTGCCTGGAATAATTTGTACATATTTTGAAGTAGCTTTCATCATCAGCCAAACTGTGGTTTTTTAAAACAAAAATATCTAATTATTTTATTACCGATCTACAGTTTATAGGCAACCTTTTGCGAATTTTAAATCATTCTATGTAAAATTAACGGTTCCGTTATCAATTTTTGTTTTGTCAATGCATTTAAATTAAAAAGAAATTAATCATAATTAATCTCAACCTAAAACAATAATAAGAATGTTCATGAACGAATACAATATCAAAACGTCGTAATCAAGATATTTTGAACCAGATCGATGAAAGATAATTTTTGTTTATTTTATTGGTGATTATTAATAAATTATGAACAACACCTGTAAACTTTATTTTTTTAATTCCAAAGATAGCATTCGTCATTGTTGTATTTAATGTTTAATATTTGACAATGTTAATACGAACAACTATAGCGCTAGTAGTAACCTGGAAAATAATCTAAATTTCCTTCAATAACCAGTGTATTAAGATGAGTTTTATTTAAATCATTCAATATGTTCATCTGTTGTAATATTTTATACGCATAAAATATTCCAGAATGAGCTGGAGTGAATGAGTGGGAACAATTATGTTTTGTCGTTGGTTACGAGGTCACTAATTAATGACCACATCATATAAACATGCATGACTATACGGTTGTAGCATTGGTTCAGCCATACTCAGTAGTTAACCGGCTAACTAGCTGGGTGCATGCAGAGGAGCGTTAAACTGAATATCTGGAATTACATCATCGTCGGTTCTTCTTGGCTCTTCGGTAAGTGTGGAATTTAATTGTAGTATTAGTTCCTTCAGCTGTTGAAAATTTGGAATTTTCAGTTTCAAGCTGTTTAAACCATTATTTATATGCAATATAAACTGTGTACGAAATCCATTCTAAACTGTGTTTCCTCGAACTACGTTTTACTGTATTATTTTAAAGATCTTTAATTAAAAGGGGGAATATGATATTCCCCGAGATATTCCCCATTCCTCGATATTCCCCGTTCCTCCATTCCCCAATTCCCCGTTCCCACTTTTAAAGATAGCCAATGTTTTGGCGAAGTGCATGTAAACTTAAAATTCTGAAATAAAAGTAGAGTTGCGACCAAATAACCAATACTTTATATAATTATACTAAATAATGCAGTTATCCGACTTGTTTTTGACCCCACTTATTCATGACTTATTTGCACTTATTTCGTATATTGTTCCTCATATAGAAAGGACTAGTTTTGGAGGAGATTTTAGCATGCATGAGATTTAGTTAGATAGGCTAATTTATTTCTGGTTGTTTGTTTACCGATTACGGCTAAAGCTTTTAGCAGTTTAATTCAGAATTTTAAGTTTACACTTCGCTATACGTACGCCCGTAAGGATACAAAGTCTTTACTCTTCGCAGAAGTATAAACATTTTGCCGGTCTTTCGCGTATGCTGTACAATACAGTCTGTAAAAATTCGTGGCTTTTCGACCCCCAATAGCGCTGCTATATCAACCCGTAGCAGCGCTAATATATCAACTCTCGATATCAAACAGGATATAAAAAAGTCGTTAATTGTGATGACTACCAGATTTTTCCAAAATTTTCGTACTCAGATGGGCGACGCGGCTACGATTTTCTTATCAGTACGAGATGATGTGTTTTTGAAAAGCCCAGCCTTTTTCTTACTTCCCTAACGTGCAAAACGTGAAAAATCTTTATTAATAATAGGGCCTAATATAATTTGTAATAATAAACAAAATTCTACTGCTCCGTGCTCCGTATGCTCCGTGTTTTACTATTAGCTTTCCATTCCGGCAATAGATATGTGATTACATTCATTATAGGCATATCTTTCATTCCGCAGCCTTGAACAGGAGCAGGCCGGGACCGCCAAGCAATATTTGGATTCGGGGGCTATAGTGATTGCCGGGTCCGGGGTATGCTCCCACGGGGAAATTTTGAAATTTGAGACCTCTCAGAGCTCTGGAAATGCAATCAAATGTACACCCTTCCGGAAAGTACGTGTGACATCAGTTAAAGTCAACGTTACAACCATGAAAACGAGGCTCTATAGCCAAGGTGACGTACTTTCCGGAATTCTACTTTGAAGTTGTAAATTTTAAGCAGTTTAATATGAATTTTAGTCCAGTAAAATGTGCAAAAGAAGCTGGTTATTCAGTGGCGGCGCCAGGGGGGCAAGGGGGTGGGGGGTGGTTTTGCCCCCCATTTTGCCCCCCCCAAAAAAAAAAAATTATTAGTCACTAAGAGCGACTAGAGGCTGCACAAGCGTTTTGTCGTTACGAAAATGTATGGCTTATAAGTTGTCATTACTCATTAGTGAATGCGCGTATACATGAAACTGTTTTTTACCGAGTTTCAATATTAGTTTGTAAATCTCTGAATGGTAAAACTTGCCAATACTCCAATAATACGTTTCAAAAAAAGACAAAAAAAGCTTTAGTTTTGCAGAGTTAAATTCTCAAACGTGTAAGGCACTAATAAGATGAAAGTATCACGAAATCATTTGAATAAACCATATCGCATATATGTGGGGCGAATGTCCTAAAGAGGGGCGATATTCCTAGGGTATTCGTCCTACTCCCCTGGGAGGCGATATTCCTAGGATATTCGCCACGTTTTGAGGGGGGGGCGAATCTCCTGGGGGGGGACGACCTCTTTAAAAATTCTATCTTCCCCCGCCCCAAAAATTTGAGTTTTCCCCTCAAATGCCCCCCAAATTTGGAGGCCTGGCGCCGCCACTGTGGTTATTGTATGTTTTGACATCATGTACAAATAGATGTTACCACTTTAATCTTTAATCTTTAATCTTTAATAAAATTTCTTTTAACACGGTAGCCTATTCAGTATAATATATACAGTCTGTTTTTCAAAGGGCCGTGCTATATAGTATTAAACACACATTAACTATGGATATTTACAGTTAATTACAGCACATAATTATTACACACTCCATTAATTTCGGAAATGCATTATACATTATTCATGTGCAAGGTTAAGGGCTAAACGCATTTTGAAATTGGGTAAAGATAAATCCTGAATGTTATTAGTTACTTCATCCGATAATTCGTTCCACCCTTGTGCTGCTCTATAAGAGAAACTTCTTTTAAGAAAGTTGGTTCTTGGTTTAGGCAAAGATAGTTTAACATTATTGCTTCTTAGAGAATAATTACTATTTTCGCATCTCGTGAAGAAATTCTGCACACAATCAGGTAGTCTGTTAAAGCTTTAAACGTCATAATGATTTCTCTTTTCTTTAAAATGTCTTCAATTGGCATCCAATTGAGACTTTCTAGTATTTGAGTGGAACGAACATCGTATGATTGTCCTGTGATAACCCGAGCTGCTCTTCTTTGTAACTTAGAGAGTTTGTTAAGAATGGTATTAGATGCATCATTCCATATTGTTGAGCAATATGTCAGGTGAGGAGATACTAGAGCATTATACATTTTGATTAGAATGTGTAAAGGAACAAAGGACTTGGCTCTTCTTAGTAATGCAATATTTTTTGAGATTTTTTTACATTGTGCGTCAATGTGTATACCCCACTTTAATTGATCGTCGATGATAAAACCAAGAGATTTTTTATTGGTGACCCGTTTAATATTATTATCTCGTATGGCTAATGAAATCTCTGGGTTGTCTTCAAATTTAGTAAGATGATGTCTAGAGCCAATTATCATAAATTCCGTTTTGCTATCGTTTAGCGTGAGCTTGTTACATCTAAGCCAACTATGAACATTCTCAAGATCTCTTTTAAGTTTAGTCTCGATTTCATTGGCATCTAAGCCGGCACACGAAAGATTTGTATCATCAGCAAACAAGTTAGCCTTGGTTGTTTCTAGACACTTAGGTAGATCGTTAATATACAAGAGGAATAGGATGGGGCCAAGGTTAGAACCTTGTGGTACCCCACACCTAATTTCTCTAGCATGTGATTTTTTCCCATTCATTAAACAAATCGATTTTCTATTTTGGATGTAAGATTCAAACCATGCGTAAGTAGTTCCTTTTATGCCGTATAGGTGAAGTTTCTTTAATAAGATTTCATGGTCGACAGTGTCAAAAGCTTTTTTCAAGTCCAAGAACAGGACTCCATTGATTAAGTCACTGTCCATGTTATATAACCACTCATTTGTTGAACCTAAGAGTGCCGTCTCAGTAGAGTGTTGTGAACGAAAACCGGACTGTTGCTCTACAAGAATGCTATTGTCGGCAATAAACGTTCTCAATTGATTGTACACTAGCCCTTCAAACAGCTTAGCAACCACAGAAATTACAGAGATTGGTCTATAATTTCCGCAATCAGTTTTATTCCCTTCTTTAAAGACTGGTGATACCTTGGCGATTTTCCACTCGTCCGGAAAAATTGCAGTCTGAAGAGATAGATTAAAGATGTTGGCTAATGGTTGCGGCGTTGCGCGATAACATCGCTTGTATCTTTTAATAGTTTTACACTTATGCCGTCCAGTCCTGGTGATTTCCTTGAATTAAGTTGGTTTAAGGCGTCAAAAGTCTCTTGGACTGAAATACATGAAAAATGAAACGAACTCTCCGTAGGAGTGACAAATGTCATAGGGTCAACATTAATATTTTGGACATTTTTCGACAGTTTACAACCGATGGATGAAAAATACTGATTAAAACAGTCCGCAATATTTGTGTCTCCAGTTATAACTTGGTCATCTACATTTAGCTGTGTTACATGGGTAGTTTTGGGCTTTTTGTTTAATAGCTCATTAATAGCCTGCCAACTCTCTTTGCTATTATTTGCATTAGATAACTTCGTTTTAAAGTATTCTTCCTTAGTCTTTTTAATAAGCTTATTTAATTTATTCTTGCATCTTTTGTAGGCCTCGTTATAATTACTCGATGTTAAACGAACACTCTGTCTTTTAAGATAATCCCTATGATGCATTAAACGCTTTATTTCTTTCGTCAGCCATGGTTTATGCACACTCTTAACGCGACGCTGTCTAACTGGCGCGTGTTTTTCAGCAATAGTAAGAAAGTTGTTCTTAAATTCATTCCATAGCACATTTGGATCATTCGATGTGGGATCTAGATTAGTATAGTAGCTTAGCTCTTCTTTAAATTGGTGGGAGTTGTAATTTTTGACCTGTCGTGTAAATACAATTTTTGGTGGCTCTTTAGGAATGCTAATTTTCCGACATATATAAACAAGACTATGGTCACTAATCCCAAGGTCAACAACCCCGGCTTCTAAGGTTTTATCATCGTCGATATGTGTAAGAATTAAATCAATCAGAGACGAAGAATTATAAGTAGTTCTAGTGGGGGTTTGTATGTGTTGCTGCAGTTGGAAAATATCAATAATATCAATTAACTTAGAAGTAGCTTGGTTTTGAGTGTGCTCAATAAAATTACAATTAAGATCCCCGGTTATGATAATATTTTTGTCTTCATTATCAATCAGCTTCAAGAAGTTTTCGAACTTTTGGAATAATTCAATTTTTGCACTCGGTGGTCGATACCAAGTTGAAATAAGCACTGGTTTACTTTTGGGTTTTCTAACTTCAATACAAAGCAATTCGAGAGTATCTTGTAATAAATCTTCACGTACGACATATGGAATGATAGTCCTTATATATATAGCTACCCCTCCCCCATGTCTGTTTCGGTCAGATCTGACAATATCATAACCAGGTATCTGTACTTCACAGTCTAGGAAAGTACTGTCTAATCTAGTTTCATTTAAGGTCAATATATCGAAAGGTTCATCACGCATATAAATAAGTAGTTCTTCATAGTGTTTAGGCAAGCTAGCGATGTTAAGTTGTGCTACTTTGAAACCTTTAAGTTTAGGATTGACATCATTTCAATTTTTGAAAATCGTCTTATATATATTCAGTAAACAATAAAGAAATAAGAAGAATATTGAAATATTCTTATATCCAACATTCTTATTCTTATATCCAACATTCCAACACTGGGCTATACGAGTGTATCTAAAAGTCGAGGGTCGAGAGTCGAGAGTAAAGGTCGAGAGTCGAGAGTAAAAGTCGAGAGTCGAGAGTAAAAGTCGAGAGTCGAGAGTAAAAAGTCGAGAGTAAAAAAGTCGAGAGTCGAGAGTAAAAAGTCGAGAGTAACAAGTCGAGAGTCGATCGAGAGTAAAAAGTCGAGAGTCGGCAAATGTCATCAGAAACAACAAAGTCAAAATATTTTTATTTTTTAACCACGTTTAACACAATCTATATATATATATAGCTTTACATAGCCATTCCGTAACAAGTACCAACGGCTGAAATACAAACTTTCCATTGCTACAACAGTCAATAATTAGTGGCGGAAATTCACTTTTTCCGGGGGGGGCAAAGCCTCCTAAATTTCCGACAAAACTTTGAAATTTCCGACGTACCCCCCCCCCATTTGCACTCGAAAAGACTGTTTTTAGCCCTCTTTTAGATCAAAATTTCCGAAAATTCGTCAATTTTCCGGAAGGTGGGGGGGGGGAGAGATTTCCGCCACTGTCAATAATAATAACGTGATAACAAAAACAAAAAAGTTTGGATAAGAAAATAATAATATCGCATTTGATGCCTCAATCTTGCTAAATGTTTTCACATGTCATTTCATTCTAACTGACATGCACATAAACTTTCGCTGAATTTTGACAGCCATCTCCAGGCTTGTAAGAGAGTCTGAATGGGGTTAACTGACTACTTACATTTGCCTGAATTTTTGACTGACAACTGACAAAATATCCTAACTGACAACTGGGAAATGATGAAAAAATTTTGCAGCCACTGACGGCAATTGATAAAACTAGAATAGTGAAGCGAATAGTGCGAATAGTGCGAATAGTCGACGACTAGTGCGAATAGTCCGCGAATAGTCGACGAATAGTGCGAATAGTCCGCGAATAGTCGACGAATAGTACGAATAGTCCGCGAATAGTGCAATAGAGAATTTGCAAGGCTTTCCACTGTGCTGTAGAACTAAATTTACCGAAGCGGGGCGGGGGGGGGGGGCTCTATTGACAAACATGAAATCGTGAAAACATTCGTTGATGTCAATGACGGTCATACGTAATCGGTAAAAATTACGGGACCACTGAGTTTTAACAAATATTTAACAGGAAGTAGAATGACAATCAGTGGCGCCGTGGGACCCATGTTTTTTTTTGGGGGGGGGGCAAGGGCAGTACTTTTCCGACAAACCGAAAAATTTTTCCGACAAACCAAAAAGTTTTCCGGACGACAACATTTTAAATCTTCCCCCCCCCGTCGACAACTTTGACAATTTCCGACAGCCTTGACAATTTTCCGACAATTTCCGGCAGCATTGGCAATTTTACGACGGGTGTCAACAATAGGGGAGGGCCATGCCCCCCCCTGCCCCCCTCCCCTGCCACGGCGCCACTGATGACAATCACTAGACGTATGACGTCATTGACATACGTCGACGAATGTTTTCACGATTTCATGTTTGTCAACAGAGCCCCCCCCCCGGTAAATTTAGTTCTATAGCACTGCTGCAAAGCCTTGCAAAGTCTCTATTGCACTATTCGTACTATTCGTCGCCTATTCGTGGACTATTCGTACTATTCGTCGCCTATTCGTGGACTATTCGCACTATTCGTCGACTATTCGCGGACTATTCGCACTATTCGTCGACTATTCGCGGACTATTCGCACTATTCGTCGACTATTCGCGGACTATTCGTACTATTCGTCGACTATTCGCACTATTCGCACTATTCGCTTCACTATTCTAGTTTTATCAATTGCCGTAACTGGCTACTAACAGCTTGCAATATATCGCACTGACAACTGACAATTGGCTTAAATTTTAGCTGACAACTGACAACCAAAGACCCCCATTAAGACCCTCTTGTAACTAAAATGTCACTTATTCATTTATTAACGTACGTTTATATCAAACGAGAGCGTATTAAGAAATCCACGTTGATCACAATCTAACGATTCATACAATTGTGAATTCATAAATACGAGCCAGTAAAAATAGGATTCTTTTGTCGTATGTGTGACTCTATCGGGTGGTAATATGTCTCGCACGTGATTGTAAAGTCCTAGTATTTATATGTAGCTTCACATATGAGTAATTTTTCGCGGAAATAGGTGCATGCAAAAGTGGGAAGGATGGACAGTAATATATAAGGAAGCGATAAAACTAGTTATTAATGTTGTGGCTAATTTTTTGCGAAAGTTTTTGTTTTATATTATACTGGATTATTCCTTTGATTGTATATGCCTCTTGTTTACTTTAATTTCGAGAATTTGAGCATACTAAATTATGTTTCGCAAATATTGTTTGCTTATGTTCCGATACACAGGAAATGAAATGAGTTCAGTACCCACTGAATAAAATTTTCTGTGTAACTAAATTTCCAAAATTGTCGTTGGGAAGTAGACAAAAATATTTTCCTATTTGTCGATTCCTCGTTACTTTTACATATTTCTGGTATTTTCAAATACCATATTGCATGTACTGTCTTCTTTTTAAATTTATTTCCCCCAATTTTTGCCCGAATTTATACGTTTATAATTTGCATGACTTAATTTATTTTGACTGGGGGGCGGGACTGCCTCCCCCCCCCCTCGCCCGTACGGCTATAATCAGCCGTTGTTACGGATCGGTTATATATTGTGTTAAAAGTATTTTGACTTTGTTGTTTCTGATGACATTTGCCGACTCTCGACTTTTTACTCTCGATCGACTCTCGACTTTTTACTCTCGATCGACTCTCGACTTTTTACTCTCGACTCTCGACTTTTTTACTCTCGACTTTTTACTCTCGACTCTCGACTTTTACTCTCGACTCTCGACTTTTACTCTCGACTCTCGACTTTTACCCTCGACTCTCGACCTTTACTCTCGACTCTCGACCCTCGACTTTTAGATACACTCGGGCTATACATATACAATATATATCTCACTAAAAGAGTAAAAGACACTATCCAAATTTGTTTGAATGCACACAAAACAGTAGTTTATGAAATCCTGGCGGACAGTGTGTAATCCATTGTATAAACTGTAGTTTTCATTACGAGCGAGCAAATTTGGAAAGTGCCCAGTAATTTAATATATATACAAATTACACTATATGCATGGAAATTATATTGGAGGTGGGGTGTCTAAAGCCCTCAGGCTCAGCAGCTCAGCTCCACCTCGCATGCTCCGCGGTCCTTGTTGACGATTATTATTTTTGTTAAATCGTTTTTCCTGAAATATCATATTCCGCGTCATTCCACAATGATATAACATTCAAATATAAAACTGGGCAAAGTGTTCTCGAGAAACAATGTTTTTTAAAATATATTACAGTGAAGGTTATTCAAAGATACTAGGATGAAAGACCCGTTATCGGAGAATATCTCAAGAGTGCATAGTATGCATTTCTGCCAATATATGTATTATATGTTTTTTGTGTGTTATTTTCGTACAAGCTATAATTGTTTGTTGCATGTGTGTGGCGAATCTTGTAAATAACTTCAATAGATAAATTAATAAATCCTTTTTCCTGTGCTTTACTGCCAAAGTCTTCGACTACCCTCTCCCCTTCTCCTACTATATTGGTGAAATCACTTTATGAACTTCAAAATCACACAACTTAATTGTCATTCCGATGCTTCACAAATATATTCAACGTATCTCTAGTGTGACATTACCTAAATATATTCATCGTATCTCTACTATTCAGCTCTCTCTCTAATAAGCTCTTCTCAATAAGAGGACAAATTTATTAACACCCCGCAACTTTAATCTTTATTTAACTGTGTGTATCCCCCAATAACAAAGCAACACATGTAATCAATATAAGTCCACCTCTCATCGCAATTAAGCTCCCACTCGAGCTCTTCAAAAAAAACGCTGGAATTATCTGGACATTTTCATCTGTTTTCGTAATTTGTGTTTTAAGTCTTGAAATTAATTCCTTCTGTGTCTGGAAGCATCAGCCATTGATAAAATTCGACTTTGCCTTTAATAATGCCGTTAGCGGCACTTCGGGAAAGTTATTTTAACCATAAACATTATAGATTAAATAACTCTTATAGCAGAAGATCGGGACCGACTTTTGATACGGTCTCAAACTGGGACCGACGTTTTGTGATTTTCGAATACTGGGGGGGGGGGCATACCACCCCAATTGCGCACTTTGACATGCATATTTTACAATTGCGCACTTTAATTACCGTGCATGCATGTAGATTTGTATTTTTTATTGAATATCCGGTTTAATCGCTGATCGCATTTGTTGCTTTTTATCAGTCCAAATTCGGAATAATCTGATTTTCGAGCAAAGGATTATTCTATGCCTCAAATCTTCTTGTTAAACCAATAATAATAACCAATAAGGTCTAAAACATATACATGAGAGTGACAGACATACCCTGGTTCCAGAGTTCTTGTGCCGCTGTATTATAAATTACATAATTTGTACTAAAAAATATACGAGCGAGAATAGGCAATAGGGGGCCAGACCAATGATGCATCTGGCTTTCAATACCTATCAAATGTTGTATAAATGTTCAAATAGAGACATAGATAAAGTACGATAAGAAGAATGCATTTATATTAGGATCATGTCATGGGAGATTAGGTGGCGGTAATCTAAGTAACCAATCTGCTACTGGGTGATAGCGTTTTATACAGGTCATTGTTGTTGGTCAGGCGGAAAGTGCTGAGAAAGCTGAAGTATATATTCCCATATTTCTCATATTTATTTTTGGAAATATAATATGCATTAGCAAGTTTAGTTTTCTGGAATATATTGTTTTTAAAGAACATGTTGTTTTTACAATAGGTTTTAATGGTTTAATCGCTTCAAGTGTTTGGGTTAATCTAGCAGATGATCACGACCAACTAAATATTGGGAATATAGCTTAGTCATTATTGACATTGTGCTTGCTGGAATGTGCTCATTAAACTAAGGTAAGTTGAAATTATAAACTTGAACGTTGTGTGCATGCCAGTGTAGATAGTGCCGGCAATGGGGCAATAATAAGAAAGCTGCGCCGGTTTGGTAGGGATCGATAAGACTACCTGAAAAATACAAAGTCAAGGAGCTACTAACTGCCCGACTGGAACTCTGGCGAAGGCTTCGCTCGAAATGTCGAAGTTCTCCTTGTATTTTTCAGGTAGTTGTATCCTATCAATCCGCAGCTTTCTTCAACTATATAGGTTGAAATTATACTTGTTTTATATATACATACAGCTATTAATTAAACCTTAGTTATCATACAGTATATTGTAGTGAAGAGCTAATTCATAATGTAGTAGGCGTACGTGTGTGCATGTGTTATTATGCCGATTAAATGGGTCATTTATTAGCATAAAACTGCAGAAGACTATATGCAGACAGCATAAAACCACTTTTGTATTTTACATTTTTGTGTTTTATATTTAATTAATTTTGTGTTTTTGTGATTTAAAACGTAGCACGATCGAAGTTGAAGATTTGTTCAGACGGTTAAAAAGTCGTATTTTTCCGCTGAAACTCCATTCAACTACATGCATGCAGTACTCCTGTATCAGTAGAAAAAATGAAGTTAAAGAGTTCGCAAAACGTAATTGTATATGTAACTAAGCTATAAGTATAAAGTATAAACAAGGCCAAGGATTTTTAACCAACAGGCAACACGGCAACAGTATTTCCGATATTACTGTAAAGGTTACTTTCCAGTTAAAATAAACGTTTTTCATTGCGTATATTATATACACGCACAGAAATCTTTAATTAAATCCATAAGTTTCTTATGAAATAATTAAACGAAAAAATGAAAGCACTTAGACTGGAACAAAATAGTTATTTTCACATTTTTAATTGACCTTGTTTTACTCTAAATAGAATTGAAAATGGTCGGAAATCTAGCTAATTACTATAGTAGCAACGACAGCGTCTAATGGGTAATCTGATATAGCTTTATATATATGGTGAAGTCTGCCGAAATTTCGACTTTTCTATACGGAACATATAGTGATTTAATAGGAGGACATTAGAGAGAATCCGTGATGGTCCTATATTCAAACATTTGCCTTCGGGTGTGTTCAATGTTTGTGCCAAATATTATGCTGGGTTATATTGTTCTTGCGCCAATTGTTGCTCTTCGCAACCTATTCGGCAACTAATTAGGTAATACCTAAATGTGCCAAGAAGTGAGGCGTATTTCACACGCTAACTCACGGCTTTTGTATATATTGCCGGTCTGTACGGTACATGCATGCAATCACTGCTCATACCGTGTGGAAGATATTGTCAAGAAATATATGTCGCCTTATGATCGGTTTGTACAACTTTAAATATACATGTATACAGTTAATATATCTAGATGTAATTTTCAGACACCAGTGCCAAATAGTAATAAAATGTTGTCATGTTACTGAATTGCATGATTATTTGATAGTTATGTTTCATTTATAATATTTCATTGTTACGAAGTGATTATTTGATAGTTATGTTTTATTTATAAATAGTTTATTGAGTATTTATAATTAAGTAATTACTCTCTAATAACATTTCATTTGTCAACTATGTATGTTATGTAAAGAGAAGTGCGGTTGTCAATTTTACGATTAAGATGAAAAAATAACATGCAGTGTATAAGAAATCCTTTGATCTGATTAATCAATTACTGTTAAAGCGTTTTATAAACGAACAGTTGTATTTCATGCCATGGTGATAAAACCGGCATGCGCACCACGTCGATTACGGCATTGGTGAATGGTGTGCGTTATATTTAGTGGGTGGCAAACGTTCGTACCAGTCTCAGTTGCGCTTTTAGGAAGTGTCCAACAGTAAGCTGTTTTTATTAGGGATGCAGAAGAGGGAGGGCTCAAAGGAGCTAAGGTGCCGAGCAACCTGATACTCAGGGTTTTCACTTTCGCTACCCCCCGAAACCTTGGGTGCTGAGCCCCTTTGTTGGGAGCTCAGGGTGCTGAGCCCTCCCCCCCCCCCTCCTTGTTAATTAAGAATTTCATATTTATTTGGGAAGGTGACCTCCCATTTTCTTAGCAGATTGCATAATCATAATCTGGAAAGTTCTTTGCAACTGTAGGGTTGAATGATGCGGTAATGATTTAATATAACCTGTGTTTCATTATATACTATATGATCCGACCATTAGATAATTTATGTGGCTCCGACATGAGATAGCTTCGGTATATAAAAAAGCCACTAAATTGAAGAATTGCTAGAACCAAAAACAATATTGAAACATTCCATGTTTATCATGTTGCACCCTCCACGCCTTTAAATTGTGACCCCACCCCGCTTTGAGAGCCACTCTTGTTAATATAAAGAAAAAGTTTTCTCTATGTTTCTCAGGTGGCTACGCAATATTATAACATGAGCGACCGTATTGTATCAGTCTATCGGCTCGAGTTTGTATGTCTGATTACTCTGATACACGGACGTGAGGATTTCAAGAGTTCAACGTAAGAATTTCAAAATTATCGTCGATTTTAGCTGAGAAAGTCGACGACAAAGCTAGACAAAGTTTATGCAAATCTGGAGAATTTTGTATATATTTCATGATTAATGAGTTTTACAAGACCATATACAGTATAAGTGAAACATATAATCTTTCGTTGGGCCATTTCGATCATGATTCATTTCATTGTCTATAAATAATAGATTATCACCACCACGCACAACATAGCGGCATATTTTCTCTCTAATCCTGTAATTAACCCCCTCCAAATCTCCCATGAACAGTACTACGCCTAAGCATGGGATGGACTTTTTCTAAAATAATATCTAAACACATCAGTTTTCAGAATATTTTCCTCCGTATAGCCCTAGCTTAACTTCCGTTGTTCAGAACAATAATATCCAAAAATAATGGCCTAAGTGTTCCTTGGCCCATTCTTAATCCGACTCAAGCCAAGGTGAGAACGTGTCAGTGCTATTCCAATTTGTCCGCGTTCTTCCTGAAAAAGGAAACTTGGATTATACCTACGGCTTTAATTATATTAGTTTCACCAAGAATTTTTATATGCACTTTTACTATAATTTCGAATTTCAAATATAATATTGTACACTGGATATACAGTATATTGTTTCGAAACAGCATGGGGCCATTGCACATGATCGATTAGTAATGACAATTTTTTGCGCGCATTTACAGACGATAAAATAATCCTGAACGTGACTTCTGTGATAAGACCTACATGTATTTGTATGCTTATATATGAACGTATAAACAGGCAAGTTTTATCGTTATCATTATCTTTTTTGTCCAGTATTTATTATAATAGGTGGGTGATAATAATGATATATTGATGGAAACGATTCTGTCATTGCATTTAGAAATTATATTCAAGTCCTTCCGGTGTACTTGAATAATTGAAATGACTTCAGACAGATTCTGACGTCGCAGTTGCCTCCTGCGGGATATATAACTGCGCATTTACACAAATAATAAAGTTTGTTTATTCAACAAGACTGGGTTATATTGGTTCTGTCTATATTTCCAAGGTACCTGGTGTGAATGATAGAGATGAACATCGGCTTGATTCTACGTATTTTTCCTGTTCTCCTCCTGGCATACTTTGCGTCATGCCGAAGAACACGGCAGATCAACGAAGCCTCGAACGAAGGTCGCAATTCAACGGTATGTACGACATAGTACTTGATATATTATCACAGCTAGGAAAAGATAGTTTAATGGAGTTCGGGCAACAGACATTATTCCCATAGATGTGAAATATTTGCATGCGCCTTGTGGGTTTATTTTTGTTGGAACTTTCTCACGGGCCAAGGCTAACAAACATTGCTTCAATTGTTCAATTTATTTTTGACAACCATATAAAGAATTTTTATGAAGAACAGACACAATGCATTCATCTTATTCACTGGTAATTACAACCCGCTGATTCTGCCCCCTTTCTATTCCATCTTATAATTGAAACTTCAACTTGTCGAGTTATCGCGCACGACTTCATTCGGCTTGTTAGATATATGGCGCAATGGCGGACACGTGCGTGATGTCCGTGCGCTGTTTGAGTGCAGTGTATATGTTCTTACGACTCTAATTGATACTGGAACAAGGCACATTACGTAAAACAAGGTACATTACGTAAAACAAGGCACATTACGTAAAACACAGACATTAGATCTGTTTAAACTAAGGACGAGATAAACAAATCTGTCAATTCTGTTTCAAGACACAATGACAGATTATAGCTACTTGACTATTGCATTGTACAATTATTTACGAAAACTCAAGGATTCTATTTACAAGCATGACATTGATAATTTTACCCCCATCTTAGGCTTTTCCGTGAACTTGAAGCTTGTAAAAAATACCCACGTCGGAAGGATAAATAAATAAAAATCGCAAAAAATATGTAGTACGTTTTGCCATCTATCATTGAGAATTAGCTGCAAAAGGTGTAAAAAGCAGAAAAGGAAAACATCATCTTTCATTTTTTCTCTGGTTGTGTGACATGTCTGTCATCACTAGTTCATAAATATGATCACCATTTCGGGTCATGACCTCTATGTCGAGCTCTATGTCGGAAAATTTTAGAGAAACAAAACGCAAAAGTGGGCTTTAGAGCTGATCCACCACATGCAAGCAGCGAGTTTCCTGCGTTTGTAACTTACTACGTATGTGTAAAGCATAATTTTAGTTAAATTTAAGAATTGTTACATCTTTCACAGCATGAAGCAGAGGAAATACATATCATATTTTTATAGCACTCCAGCATCGATGTTTATTCACTTATTTGACTCCTGTCTCCTGCTATACATATCGTGAACATCATAACAAATTAAACACCTGGATTTTTTTCGATAGTCAATAAAATCTCTGCTCTTTTTGTACTAATATCTTGAATGTCATCAAAATTGTTAGACTTGTTAATGTCGGTAGGAATAAACAATATTCATCAGCCTGGTTGCAGGATTTTTTGTACCATGAAATACTGTATAGGTGATCAATTGTAGTAAACAAATCGCAAAACTAGCATGTAGATCAGTCCTGTGTCTATTCAGTTAGACGGTAAATTGGAAAGTTCGGTTCTCTTCAATGTTGGGGTCCTGGCTCACTGGCTGCATGGTCTGATTGTATTAAACGATAACGTTTTAGAAAAGGACATGAGGAAAAATCATATATGAGGAATTTCTTATAGATTGTGTTGGGAAAAATAGGCATGCATATGTTATTATAATATATTTAACGGCTGGTTATTTGTGCAGTTTGCAGGTTAAGTGCAGGTTAATGCTATATAAATGAAGATTGAATTTCGCTATTTTCATGTTGTTTAAAAGGCAATAAAACCCTAACCCTAATCAAACTGCAAAAACGTCAATAGTTTGGAAACAAACTAACATGCAGAAATGCACCAATCAATAAAAGAACGGAGTAAAATTTAACTCAAGGTTAGCGCTAATCAGTAATCAAGCTTTGACGTCTTTGAACAACCGACCCCAGAATAATAAAACATCTGTGGCTTTATATTTTAAGAACTTTATTTTTACGATATAACCCACACATTAAGGGCGTAGGGGCCTAGCCCTCCCCCCCCCCCAAGTTTTCAGAAGACACAAAAAGTGCCCTTTGTCTTCGTGAAAAATGTTGTTCAGAAAATTACCTGCAATTGTTGAGAAAAGTGCCCTTCAATAAACAAATGTCCATGAAATAAATAGATTTAACTTTTGGTTGATTTTTTTGAAAGATGTGGTCAAAATTCGAAATTTGGGCAATCCCCCCCCGGGAAATTTTTTAGGTGCCTTTTCATTATCCAAAAGTGCCCCTCGAAGCTGGTGCCCCCCAACGTTTTGATGCTTCCTACGCCCCTGCACATTACATATATACTACTATTTGGTAGCAACCAAAGGAGGCGTGCTCTACAGACTGCACATCAGGTATTATTCAGGCAATGCTAGATATTATGGACTGTGTTAATTATGTTGCATGTGCATGCAGTACATGCATGGCTATATATGTACATTAGTGATTAGTCTCGAATTTGTCTACATCAACAGATTGTTTTACAGAATTCTTATATCACGCACGCGGATTTGTAATATACTCATAGAGTGTAGTATCTCAATGGTCAGTTATGTAAACACCATAAAAATGTAATAGACAAGGCAGTGTAATTAGACGGCACTATTGAATAACTCCATGGTAAAATCAACAGTGCCAAATATAAGTGGCTGTCACCCACCAGTTTTTATCACCCACCATCGACTGGATAATATATTGCAAAATGATGAACACAGCAACTGTTAATCTGTTCTTGCACTGGAACGTAATTAATAATTAGCCTTTCTCACGGTCGATTTTCCCGCCATTTTTTGGGGTACTGCCTTACTCCCACGTTTGAGAGTCACCGCACCAAGAAATTCAACTTTTTAGTACTGTAGTTGTTTGTATAATGGTAAATTTACAGTTACAACTTTTAAAAGTCGCTTTTCATGTTGTTTGAATTGTCTAGAATCTTTCACGAGGGCAGACAGTACCCCCAAAATGGCGGATTTTGGCCTTCGTCACAATGCAACGCACAACTATAATATTAATAATGAGTAGTAATTATTTGTGACGTCAAAGACGCAATGTTGCCTCATTAGTCAGCTGACAATGTTTATATTTGAAGACAAGGGGAAATGGCTAATGGCAATTAAGATGGGATTCCAAATTCATTCAGTCGCCATTATTTGTGCCACCCTTGTCACCTGAGAACGACAATGTAACTATTTCTGCTCTTCACCAATCTCGTCTTGAACGAGGATGTGCTTCTTCTGATTTTTCAGATACTTATTTTAGTGATTTTGTAGAGAAGATAGAATAAGCGTTGCCGTCTGAAAACTGAACATACTCAAATATGCGATGAATCCATATACGTATAAAAATCATTCACTAATAATTTTACATGTCTTCGTAAAAAGCTTTGCTCCTGTTTTTCACTTCATCAGTATCGTACCGGAACGTATAGCATATGTCTTTGCGTACGTATACTCCGCCAGAACTGTTACAATACGGTTGAAGTGGAATAGTGGATAACACGCTTTATTGCAATGTTGAACGGTTTGTGCCAGTATATCGGATAGGGATGCAATTACCTGAAAAATACAAGGAAAACTTCGACGTTTCGAGCAAAGACTCTTCGTCGTTAGTACTAACTAGAGAGTTTGAGCAAGACAACGAAGTACGAAGACGAAGGCGTACTTGACAATATCCCCGTCTGCACATTATCTTGCGCATACTGAGTTGCGCTGTTTATGAATACTGACCCTGATTCTTGGCCTGACCCAGAAAAAACAGCGAGACATGAAACTATATTCCGTCTTCGTTCTTCTACCTTCGTGCATTACGAAGTTCACGTCGAATTTTGCCAAAATGTTCATTGTGAACGAAGGCAGAAGAACGAAAACGGGATATGGACTCATGTCTCGCTGTTTTGTCCTGATGAGGGTAAGGATTTGGGTCAGCAGCATTCTTAAACAGCTAGGCATGAATCTCTAATCTGTCTTCACCCCTGACTCTAAACTCAGAATGCGCAAGACAGGCAAAAATTGTCAACTACGTTGTCGTCGTCCGACTTCGTTCTCTCGCTCAAACTCTCTAACTTACCGACGAAGGACCTTCTTCGGAACGTCGAAGTTCTCCTTGTATTTTTCAGTTTATTTTGTTCTGTTTCTCGAACGACAGCTAGCCCGAATTCCACATGTTATCACATACTTCGAAACATTTTTGCCTCTTGCTATTTTATCTCAATTGAAATGTTTCTCGCACATGCGTCAACGCTAATTAGAGTATCAGTAACGTTATTGAAATTTTATAATTTAATTACATTTTCTATTTCCATCCCACTATACTAAAACAATTATCTATATTACCTAAATGAACACAAACAATACCGTAACAAGGCACACACAAATTATAGTGAATTATGAAATGGGAGAACTCTGTAAACACTTTCCTCACAAACATTTTTTCTGCGAGAGTGCAAACGCGTTTTTCAGACGTTTTTTGTGCCAACAACCTATAAAGCCTGGTTCCCATTTAGTCGTGCCAGTCGGTACATATCAAGGCAGCCGGCTGATAGTGTTATTATCTTGTAAAAGTGTCGATATATCTCTACTTTTCTCTACGTGTACAATTAGCAAAAACAAAATATATCCGAGAAAGGGTACCCACCGAGTTAGGATATCGAGTTGCCATTCGAGTTAGGGTTCGATTCAGATCGCCTTTTTGCATTATGTTTTTTTGTACACCATTTGTGATCTCGGCATCGCCGCACTTGGTGACGACAACCAAATCAAATGGAAACCAGATTTAATTAAAAATATCATATGTTACAAGAATTAGCGCCAACTCATATGATCGTTCCCAGGTTTTCCCTCTTGCTGTACATGCAGTCAACGCTCTACAGAAATTCTCCAGTACTTCCACAGAGTGGGCGCAGGTGAGATACTGGGAAAGAGGTTGCTCCGCAGGATCAGAGTCGTAGATGGTTGCAAGATCGGTGGCTTCAAAAACCTTCCACTCGATCAAGTAGTAGGTGTAGATGGCTTCGGAAACCTTCGACTCGATCAAGTAGTAGGTGGCGTCAATAACCTTCGACTCGATCAAGTAGTGGGTGTAGGTGGCTTCGGAAACCTTCGACTCGATCAAGTAGTAGGTGGCTTCAATAACCTTCGACTCGATCAAGTAGTAGGTGTAGGTGGCTTCGGAAACCTTCGACTCGATCAAGTAGTAGGTGGCGTCGGAAGCCTTCGACTCGATCAAGTACAGTGGCGGAAATTCACTTTTTCCGGTGGGGGGGGGGGGGCAAAGCCTCCTAAATTTCCGACAAAACTTTCAAATTTCCGACATACCCCCCCCCATTTGCACTCGAAAAAAAGACTGTTTTTAGCCCTCTTTTAGGTCAAAATTTCCGAAAATTCGTCAATTTTCCGTGAAGGTGGGGGGACTACTCAAGTAGAACTGCGTCCTTCGATATTCTGTTCATATGACCTCCCTTACCTAGGCGTTATAATTACAAAACTTGTACATCTCAGTCATGCAAACACAATTACTTATTCAATAAAACTGTAGGTTAAAAAGTGTTAAATTAAACGGAAAAAACTGAAATGCGGTTTATTACATTCTCCTGACTCTTCCACACTTCCTCAAAATAAGAACACGCAGGCACAAGTTTGATGGCGGCCGACGGAAGCGGAAAATGTGCCCAATTTTTAAGTAGGATCGGTCCCGCCAATACCCCCACCTGACCTCCCTGCGTCTATGTCTGGACTTTTTCCAGGGGGTCGTGTCCTCGGAACATCCTAGATATTCAGCTATATATTCATGATTCATGCCACTCTCCTTGTTGAAATGCGCAGTTCTAAACTTTCCTTGGATGACCCCTGTGAAGAATTTCAAAACAAACCTATTTCAACTTATATCCTTACCCTCTATAATCTGTTGAACTATAAATGGGTAAAAAAGAATGTCAAATGTTACATGAAAACATTCCAAGAGCAATCACTAGCAATGATAGGATGAAATAGTTTGTATATGGCTAATCCATTACCAAGTGTTGACTGCCGTAGCCCATATATACAGTATATATAGCCAGAAACAAATAAATCTTTTCCATTTGGTTGACTTGATGACATGTGAATTATTTTCTGATATTGTTAAATTCTTGACATATTTAGATGTGGTTAGAAGAATTTTCTCGATATAATGTATGGTAATGTTCAATCAAGCTGTTTAACAATTTAGAAAATTAACAATTGATGGTGATCAATTGGTTTAGCTGACAGCACGAGGTGAAAGGTCCATTCGCAGTTTTTACTGCGGTGATTTTATCATTTTAATATGTCAGCAAGTGACGTCTTATAAACCTCAAACCGCAAACTTAGTCGTAAATACATAAATTAAACACAAAAACAGTGACAGCAAACAAGCCAAACAAGGTATATTTCGGACCAAAAACATGCAGATTAAATTGTATGTAAAGGCACCATGTTGAATAAATGCCTACATTATCTTTAAAAAGTTGTGTGAATTCATCAGATAACATTTGCGTGTAAAGTCATCTTTGGAGAAACATAACTGGAGTGTCGTTCTGCCTGTAAAATATTAAATCAGAAGAGAAAATGGTCACAAACAATGACGTAAACATCTAAACTGTTAACTTAATATGTCTTTCGATAATGTTAGGTCCATTTGCAGTTTTTATTGCGATGATTTTATCATGCTCGATATGTCAGCAAGCGATTTCTTGTAAACCTCAACTCCAAACTTAGCTATAAATACATAAATTAAACACAAAAACAGTGACAGTTAACATGCAGTGCAGAATAATTTCACAAACAACATCTTCCATGTTAACAATAAACTATTAATTTTATGTTCTAATCAAGCAATTGCAAATTAAGCTTTTTAATCCTGATTTACCGAATTACCATTTTAATCTCGTTTTACCCACATTTCTGCATTTTAGTCTGAGATCCGCATTTTGTTTATCATTTATTTTATTTATGTTATCAGCTTTATTGGACACAAAATTACAGATTACAATGTATGCGCCCAATGGGAGCTAGTGCAAACGGGGAAACCAGACCCATGCAAGGCACAACCTCTAAATAAAATTATAACTAGATTATAAAAAGAAAAAAAAGACTATTTACCCTTTCATCCGCGTTTTGTCATTTCATCCGCGTTTTGTCAATTATCCGCGCTTTAACCTTTCATCCGCGTTTTACCCTCACATCCGCGTTTTACTATCTCATCCGCGTTTTACTATTTAATCCGCGTTTTACCTTCTACAGTATCCGCGTTTTACGCTTCCATCAGCTCGCCTTTTACCCCAACAGCTTTAATATCCTGGGAGGATTAGGATGTAACACCTCACCCTTTGCTTATTTCCCTTTCCTATGTATTTGTCTCAGACTGTATTAATAGGAAATGAATTTGGGATACATCAAAACGATCTGACAGTAAGTTGTTAAATATCTACGCCACCCTGTGTCTCAGCAAAGAACTCCTAATATGGTGCATAGAAAAATTCAAAATTTCATTTAGTTGTTAAATAGTGCTTAAAAAATCTCTCAACGATGGCATTGATTTATTTGACTCATTAGGAAGCAATTAATACATGATGGTGCAGTGAAAATGTAGAAACTACATACGGTTGAAAACTCGCATGTTAGACTGTAGCAATAACAGCTGATAAATTATTGGCAACAATGTAGTATTCCTCGCTATTTGCCTTTCAATCCAGAAAGCTGCCTGGCTTAATTACTAACTAGTTCTTTCTAGGAGGTGGCATGGTGATCGCAGTGTGCATTATACAATTGTTTTGCAAAGTCACCTGACGAAAAGCCTAATCTTGTTCTGTGTAGTATATTTTTTCACAAGCTTCCCATTGTCTGGCATTGACTTAAAAATTTAACACATCTGTTGTCTGGTATTTCTAAATTTTGCTATCAACAAATAAGCTTAACGTGCATTTAACCGGGTGGTAAAGCTTTGTGGTGGTCTGAAAGTCTGAGACGAGCACACGATGCCATTCAAATCTCATTATCTCTATCTTATTCTTTCAACGTATTCTCTCAGAAGGAGTACTAGTGTCTATCCTGATGGGTAGTATGGGTCTTGGGTGTATACAGCTATTTCGATTAAGGTTGTCAATGACAACCTTAATCGAAATAGCTGTATACACCCAAGACCCATACTACCCATCAGGATAGACACAATTGACTAGTGTGACAACTTGTCATACTAGTCAATTGTAGGTTAGGATTAGCATTAGAATTTACCTTAACGTAGTTAGATTTAAGATCAGGAGTAGGTCTAGCATCTGGTTTAGCATTAGGGTTAGGGTTGACATCAGTATAAATCCTATAAAGTAAAATGAATTCCTCAAATCTACCATGCTACATAATTGAGCGCCTTAGAAAAATAGATCGAGGTAGGTAAAGCTGTTTTTGATTTACCTTATATTCTGTTATTTGTTGTGATTTTGGAGCAGTTGTGCTCACAATTATTATTTATCAGGGGTTTTAATAATATTTATAGATCGTGAAAGGCCGCGCGTACTGATAATATTGTGTGCAAAACTTCAAAACTACTGTACATTTTGTAAATAACATGAAATATATTAAAAATATCAAACAAAATTCTCATTAATACTATTGAAATTTAATACAACGAAATAGCATTCTACTTTAATAATTTAGTAAATATATAATAGTTTAATAATTATTTTCAATCTGTTATAATAATTCACCGTTTCCACGGGTTTTTATACCTTCAAAAAGCTACAATAAAGCTAAATTTGTAGGAAATAACATTATTTAGTTATAAAATAAACAGTCAATCGTTTTCGATAAAACCTTGACCTTGTTATTACCGGCTTGCAACTAACGATGAACGGTCGCTCATAAAAAACATTGCCTATTCTCGTGAGAATCTTAAGTTTTCTTATTCTGACATAATAGATATTTTTCAACAATTATATATTGATATTAAACTTATTGAATTAATATTTTAAGTTTCAGGCCAGTTGTACTAAAAGTTATAAACTTATAAGCGCTAGCGCTCGCATCATAAGGTTTCATGGTTTTGATGGCATGCAACATGTACGCGCTGCGTACCTATTTTTCTACATTTCTATAGCGCAAATTTACACGTGCATGGTATGATCGAATGCGCTTTACCTTTACATCAAGTATTATTTACAAACTTAGCCTAGACTATTTTATCTTTACAACAATTGTTATACGATATTACTGTGTTTATCCTAATCCACCCTTTCAACTTTCCCTGCGGGAGGAAACCGGAACACCAGGAGAAAACCCACAACTTTCGGCAGAGCGTTGATTGACTTTTTCCACACGTGTCCACAGCGAGAATCGAACCCACGACCTCAGAGGTGAAAGGCTCTTGCTCTGACGACTGCCCCACAATAATAGAATATCATATCACGTTCAATAATGAGGCTCTCTCAGAGGTTTCACGGAAGACTGGGGAACAAGGCATATTTTGCAGTGGGAACACGAGAATAAAGCCAAAAAGTCATATAGAAAACAAGGGAACGCGTAAGCTTGGGGTGCAAGGGAACATGGTAAAATGTTTGTTGAAAAACAGGAAACAAAGTGAACACAGAACCCTCCACCCCTCCTTGGGAGTTGGGAGACCCTTAATCACTTTCATCAATTATTCATTTCTCCCTCCCCATACATCAATTTTGCAACATTTCGCCTCGCCTTTGTGTACGTTATCACCTATTATTTGGTCAACGAAAGTCGAAAACGTGCATGAGTGATTCACATCACATGAAAATGCTCGTCGGAAAAACTCGATATTTGTCGCATTTTATACGAATCTGCCACGTGATTTACCACCACCGCGGTACGCTCACGACGACACGAAATTTAGGCAGCGTTTACACTGTACCGTTTTCGTAGCGTTCTCGTATTATTCTTAATCCTCAAGGGAACGCCAGACAAGTCTAGTTCTCTCGAACAATACGAGAACGCTACGAAAACGGTACAGTGTAAACGCTGCCTTAGAGCTATATAAAAGTTGCATGCCATATATGGCATGCAACAAAAATTAAGCAGAATAAATTAAGATAGTCGGGAACGAAAGTGTGATATAAGATGAAGGATAGGAGTGAAAGGATAAGGGCAACAAAGAAAAGAACGATATACAGAGAGGGAAAGCATGCAATGAGAGGACGTCGAAGATTGTGGATCATGGATGTACAAGAGTATATGCAGTGCTTATGTTAGGAATAATTTTAATCTAGTTCAAATCAATATCAGTAAAATTCATGTCATTCGAATATATTCTATACACGCCCGGATTAAAAGAAATGATTTAATTTGTTTTAGGTGCCAAATGAAGTTGGCCGTGAAGTCGGAAATTCTGGTAAGTGTTAATTTTTTGTTTGAAGCACAGCAGAAAAAACACAAATATTTTTTGCAACACAAATCACGAAGCTTAAGGCCATGTTATACGAGGCAATTTTTGCCGCAACATCTTGCTTATCTCTAATTCCTGAACTTGTAATGGGAGTGCATTTAAATAGGAAAGGACAAAATCTTAGTTAAAACAAAGCCCATGTGAAATTATAAATTATCATTCTATTTTTCCCGTGAAGTTGAACAGAAACCATGTCACAGACATCTAAAGCGTGTGGAATCCTTTATGTTTCCTTCCAAGTTTCGTCCTTTTATCCCTCTGTGCGACTCGAATGGATATTACCTTCCACTGCAATGTCACCAGTCCAGCCGTTACTGCTGGTGCGTGGACAAGAATGGTAATATGAAACCTGGTACTAGAACCAAGGGAGCGATAAATTGTGGTAAGTTTTAGCAATCTCGAACCCTGAGCCTGCAATCCTCTGTGGAGGCTTGCTCAGAGGATTGCAGGCTCGGGGTTTGAGATTGAAGTTTTAGTTGTAGGAATACGTTAAAATAAAATCATCTTTACGTAGCAAACCTATATTCAATTTCTGTTTAACTGCTTATTTATTTTGTTGTTCTTTATTTTGTTACAGATATGAATTAGTTAGTTAATAAATGGACAACTTGCATGTTAGACTAAATTTTAATCTAAGTAAAGAGAAGGGAATCAAACACCACAGCTAAAAAGGACATAGTGAAATTAGTAAAATTGCAAAATTTGGTTGCGAAATGTTGTAAAATGAGGAAAATATAGCCTTGCAAAGTTTTCAAATTTTGTATATGTTTGTATTATGTGCGGAAATTGTTACCATTTTCGGCTCAAAAATGGTAACAATTTCCGCCCGTTATACAAATATATACAAAATATGCAAACTTTGCAAGGCTATATTTTCTGTATTTTACAACATTTCGTAACCAAATTTTGCTATTTTACTAATTTTAATAAGTTCTTTACGGGAATTTACTTTTTTATGCCTAGATAAAAAATTAGTCTAACATGCAAGTTGTCTATTGGAGGAGTAATTAGCCTTTCTCACGCCATGCGACCACATCGATCTTGTCCCAACCTCGTACCCAGGCTATTTTCTCTCACACTCTGGTAACATGGGTACTAGGATGGACTTTTCCGCCAATTGTGAGTTACCAGGTAAATCGCACAGCGACACTGAAAGGACGACAACAAGCGAAGGAGTGGAATTAGTGAAGTAACTAGTATTTAGAAACAATAGTGCTATGTTTTTACTTCACTATATCCACACCTTTGCCTTTTGCCCTCTACGATCCCCGTACAGTTTGCCACCGAAAAATGGCGGACAAGACCTGTTTGCATGTTTAATTAATAGTTAGTGATATAATCAATTTTTTATAGGAATGAAAGCCTTGAAAAAGCCTTGTGAAAGTCATCGTTTACGTTCCCTTAAACACCAAGCAAACAGCTTTAGATCAGTGTTTATACCTAAGTGTGGTGATGATGGTTATTACGCTCCAATGCAGTGTACTGTGAAGAATAAATATTGCTGGTGTGTTGACAAAGATGGAAATAAGAAAAAAGGAAGCCGTACAAAGGGACTTGCAGATTGCTCAGGACAAAAACCAAAAGACAAAGGTAATTAGTCGGGTTTTAGACAGAAAATAAGCAGTCTATAGGACACAGTATGTTTTTCAATTATTTTTCTAATTATTATGCATGGTGACTTGCGACTACCAAATCACACACAAGAACAAAACTGATTGGTGAATCTGAAAGTAATGCGATACTTTACTAAGTTCAAGCTATTTTTTGAATTTGATACTATGATGCATATTATATATATTGTTAGGATACTATCTAAAATACTTTTGGTTGATTCCACCGCGGGTCAGGCTTAGCAATATACCATCTACAAAATCCAACTAATTAATAAAAATTATATAAATTTTCGCGCCAAAGTGAATTAATTGACCTACAATGTCTAAAAACTTCGCTGTCTTGATAAATTTTTCACCGTAAGCACGCGGTGATTGTCTGATAGCCTGGAAAGGACTGTGTGTGCACTTTGAAAAAGACTTCTTGATTTCGAGGACGTTTTTTTGAAATTCCTTCTGTTCTGAAGAACAAAACTAGAAATACAAACGAACAAACAAACAAACAAACAAACAAACAAACAAACAAACAAACAAACAAACAAACAAACAAACAAACAAACAAACAAACAAGCAAGCAAGCAAGCAAGCAAGCAAGCAAAAGCAAGCAAGCAAGCAAGCAA